AGGCAAGGCAAGGCAAGGCAAGGCAAGGCAAGGCAAGGCAAGGCAAGACAAGACAAGACAAGACAAGACAGACAGGCCGACAGGCCGCCTTGCAGCCAGACATGTGCAGATTTGTTCGTCCAGATCGCAATGGCAACACATGGGGCAGCAACTTTCCAACAACTCATGGCCCCCGCTCTCACCCAGGAGCTGCTTCTGGAGATGGAGCGGAAACGGGAGATGCCAGCCTTCGACACCATGTGGCGAAACCTTGCTGGAGAGGTGGAGCAAGGCTTGGAGAAATGGGAGGGATTGAGTGTGGGAGGGGTGCCACCAAAAGAGGAAAGATGGGATGAGAGCACCTAGCGGAGGATGGCATGGCCTGCACCGCCCTGATGTTGAACCCATACTATATATCTATATGACCTCCCTTTCATCGTTTGGGCGACGGAGAGCCCGGCCAGGCGGAGACCTGAAGCGCACCCGACGCAGCAGCACCCAGCTGCGGCGCGGCAGCTTCGTGGCCAAGAAGTCGGAGAGCCAGGCAGGAAAGGGAAGGAGAGGAAGTGCAGGACCTGGGCGGGCGCAGGACCTGCGGGCAGGAAGAATTTTCATCCGTTTTTTTCCGAGATGAACCAGGACGAGTCTCTGTGGGAAGATGATGGAGTCTCTTCAAACATCAGTGGCACGAGATTCGACGAGCTTTGACCACTCGCCGCCGGTCCAAGCCCGGCCCCCCCGTGGGGTCCAAGTCTCAGATACCGTGACATACCCACACGGAGGGCGTTGGAGGACGAAGGGTGGATCCCAAAGTGGCCACTATATATTTGAACACGGGATTCGAAGTCCATGGTTTTAGTCTTTGGGACCACTGGTTGCCAGCTATAGTGGTAGCTGGATGCCCTGGGCTCGGAGAAAGTTGATGGAATGATAGAATCAGCAGGGACGAAACCATTTGCCCAACTTTCCTTAAATATTGGTTCTTGTTGGTTCTTGTTTGGTCAGAGGACGGCAGAAAGGGAGCTATGCAGTAGCAGATTCAAGAAGAAGACATGGCATTACTGCAGTGCTGACGTCTCGGGGCACTGAGGGGAGAAGCCCCCACACACATCTCACAGAATGGACGTCCCACAATGGGCTCGGCCTTGTCCAGCAAAGGGCCTCTCCTATTTCGATCCACTTCGGTTTTCGCGTCGAATCCTTTTTGGCAATGGTCGCACCTTAGCTTGTTCCCATGCTTGGTTGAGTTGCACTGATGCAGCAATGCTTTAGCAGATGTTTGGGCTCACCGCCGCACGGCCTGCAGATCTCGTTGAACACCTACATGGGCCGCGTCCAAGATGTCATCAGCTACAGAGGTGGCGGCCATGCAGAAGGGGTGAGTCTTCTCCAAACGTACATGGTCACCCCAAGAAAAGTCAATCCACTTTTGGAAATATACTCTGGGGTCAGAAAACTTGGCTCAGGTTTTTGTACTGAGCCATTTATTGTATAGGGAAAAACGCCTCTGGAACGAAAAATCCCAGATGCAGATGGCGCAAGCCATGTTAGGCGAAAAGCCGTGACAATGAATGGGAAACTACTAGTCGGGGATGGGTTTGGCGCCATCTACTTTTACAATCCGTTTCGTGAAAGACCGCTATCAAGCACGACATTAGATGGCGCAAGCCACCTTTCCAATGATGTGGGAAGGGAAGGCACAGGAGAAGTGAACAGAATGAAGCAAAAGGAGATGAACAAGAAAGGAACATGTTAGATACAAGAAGGAATGGGAGAGGGAAATGAGTTGCGCCATCTGTTGGTTCAACCATCCTAATCATCTTTCACACAAGGGTTCTACTGGGCTATTATCGTGCAGCGTTCTGTTATTGGTTCAAGTGCAAGCGCAAGGAAACGGAAAGGTAAGGGAAAGGCAAGGGAAGGATAGAGAAAGGAGAAGTGAATGAAGGCAAGGAAATAAAAGAAAGGCATCCAAGGAGAGGGAAAGGAGACATTAAGGAAAGGATAGCAAAGGTGAGGAAAGGAAAGCAAACAAAAGAAACATAAAAATAAATAGATGGAAAGACTAGTCCAGAAAAGGAAGGGGAAGGGAAGGGAAGGGAAGGGAAAGGAGAAGTGAACAGAATTAAGCAACAGGAGATGAAAAACAGGAACATGTTAGATACAAGAAGGACCATAGGGAAATGAGTTGCGCCATCTATAGGCGCCACCATAATTATCATCTTTCACACAAGGGTTGCGCCATCTACTTGGCAGTATCTATTGGCCCAACCATCCTAATCATCTTCCACACAAGGGTTGTGCCATCTACTGGGCTATTATCGTGCAGTGTTCTGTTATTGGTTCACGCGCAAGTGCAGGGAAAGGGAAAGATGAAGGGAAAGGCAAGGGAAGGATAGAGAAAGGAGAAGTGAATGAAGGAAAGGAAAGACAAAGGAGAGGAGAGGGAACGGATAGGAAAGCAAAGGTGAGGAAAGGAAAGCAAACAAAAGACAAACTCAAAGAAATACGGTAGATGGAAAGACTAGTCCAGAAAAGGAAGGGGAAGGGAAGGGGAGGCAAAGGAGAAGTGAACAGAATTAAGCAACAGGAGATGAAAAAAAGGAACATGCTAGATACAAGAAGGACCATAGGGAAATGAGTTGCGCCATCTATAGGCGCCACCATAATTATCATCTTTCACACAAGGGTTGCGCCATCTACTTGGCAGTATCTATTGGCCCAACCATCCTAATCATCTTCCACACAACGGTTGTGCCATCTACTGGGCTATTATCGTGCGGTGTTCTGTTATTGGTTCAATCGCAAGTGCAAGGAAAGGGAAAGGTGACGGGAAAGGCAAGGGAAGGATAGAGAAAGGAGAAGTGAATGAAGGAAAGGAAAGAAAAGAAAGGCATCCAAGGAGAGGGAAAGGAGACATTAAGGAAAGGATAGCAAAGGAGAAAGGAAGAGAAGGAGAGAGAGAGAGAGATAGAATTTGAAAGAAGGAGAGAGAAAGACAGTTCAAAGAGAAGAACATTAACTAAAAACAATTGGAATTTAACAGGGAGGTTGTCTACAAAAACCAACGACTTATATCAGTGTTCTTTGCAGAAGATGGCGAAAGTCTACTCTGTGAATGGGTGGAATGCCATTTATTATGCTTGAGGATGCATAGGTATATATGGTTATTTTATCACGGTTTTCCGCAGGCGCTTTTGGCACTTTCTGGTGCCATCTACTCGTTTCCGGATATAGCCATCTATTCTGAAAGCGGTGTAATATATATATATATATGGTTATACACTTATTACATAATATCCTATGTTATATAGTGGCCACATGTGGCCACCTTTCTATTGCTTTCGATTTGGTGGGTCCTATCTATGCCCGTCTACGGTGTATGAATGCATATATATATATAGCTTGCCTGGTTGCCTGTAAGTAGATAACTTCTCTTTTGACCTTTATCGCAGCAAGGGGTGCCCGTCCAAACGGACTGGCCACTGGCATCGCAGACATCGAGTTCGGCAACATCCCGCAACCAGCTTCGTTCGTCTCCGAACCTGCCGGGAAGGACCACCTCTTTGGCCGGGCCGGCCGCACCCACGAGTCCGACCACCCACGACACGGCGTGTGCACCTCGACGCCACCAGCCCTGCGCGGCGAACGGCCCAGGCTTTCGCCGGGAGAGGAGTCAGGAAGGCACCCCTCGCTTCGTGCGCCGAGGCCAGATCGGTCAGGTGGACGCGGCGGTCGAAGAACACGTGCTCGTCGTGTCAACAGCGGGCTGACCGGTCTGATCGAGTTTCGTGATGGGGGTCTTCACATGGATATCGAGTACTCACCCACAGGCACAAATGATGAAATCTGCATTTTTTCCTTCTTCTCGGACCTTTCAGAGACATTGATGTAGATACGCTTTGGGCTTCGTGTGCCGATCGGATTCGGGGCTCGCCGGTGCCATTGCCATCCTCCCATTCCGACTTCGACCGTCAGACTCTTTCCCTCCGCATGCGCCGCAGATTCAGTGAAGAGCACCCACACGGAGGGCGATCTAGCGATCGATGTGAGGAGTACTCACACCGAGGACGGGCGATCTAGCGGCGCACTCGCGTGTGGGACACCGTAAGCATGATCTTGAAGCAGAGAACCCTCACTCAAGGATACTTACTATGTTTTAAAGGGTGACTTTGAGTCCACGTCCCATTCGAAGAAGAGGTATGGGCGGAAAAGAGCTACCTGGACCAGTAGCTGAGATTCCTTGGAGAATCCCAAAGCAATAGGGGGATTCCAGGCTGATCAAGACTTGGATCCGGCTCGCTTAGCATGTGGATGTTCGTAGAAATGTTGGGAAGACTCGGAAGACTATATAACCAAGGGCTGTTGGTAGAACAAACGCACTGGGTAGCTTCCTGAGGCTCCAGTCTGTCCTGCGATTGACTACGGGGGAACCAGTGGTCACAGCTTATCAATCCTTGGCCTGGCATTTGTCTATCTCAGAACCACGTTTCTTAAATTGTCTAGGGCTCGGCCATGGACTCGCGTCAGGCCATGGACTCTTGTAAGTCTATGCCCTTGGGCCCTTTGAAGGAAGAGGAAGAGGCAGGCGAGTCGAGAATGTTTGGAGGGTTTTATGGATGATCACCGACTCGCATTCACCATTTTGTAGGCCCCCCCCGCTCCCACATGTCACAAGGAAGCGTCTGGGATCCAGAGTTCAAAAGACTTAACTCTGGCTTTATACTTGTCAGACCCCTACCCACTGGCTCTGCAGGGGTGATGACTTCGGCTTTGTGTGGCTTTTTGAGATCAACAAACCTGATGGCTCTGAAGCCTCAAAAACTCCAATTGATGGCGGGCATCGCTTGCGAGAAAGGGGGACAGTCGAAAGCTCCAAGCCCGGACACCTGATGGCTTATGGCTAGTAGACCCCGAGCGGATGCAGAACCAGCTCGCCCCTCAGTCGGATGAAGTCTCTTTCAAGTGAGGGACCCTCAGTCGGAGTTGGCTTGGCCGTGGGAGGGCGAAGCTGTTGTGCACATCAACCCACTGATGTTAACTGATCCCGGCTGTTGAGACCCCAAACACCTCGATTGTACACCGGTGCTTCACCATTACCGTAAGAACCCCGTTCGTGTGTCCACACTGTTTGCGGAAAACACTGCGGGGCCTTTCAACGCTCTTCGATCTGCATGAACTGCGGCTCGCCGCATCGGCGCAGCGCGGAAGGTCAAGCTGCGAGGCGAAGCGGTGGTCGAGGCGGGGCCGAGCAGCTGTGCGGTCCAGCAGTGGGTCCGGATAGCCTGGGTCCGGGTGCAGCGATTGCCCACCCCCTCTCTCTCACCCCAAAAACAGAGCCTGGGTTGAGGAACAATGGTCTAGTTTATAACGGTCTGACCCTGTTTCAGGAGACCATGGCACTCCGGAGGGAAGGGAAATTGTTGGAGTGACCCATTGGCAGCCTACAAGTTTACATCACACCGCATCCAGCCGAGGGCCGTCCATTATTGCCAGTAAAGGAATTGAGATGAAATGTTCAAGCAATCGTGTTCGCGAAAGGGACACTGCAGTCCGCGAAAGGCCGGCGGTAGGACGGCGAAAGACATGTGCCAACGTAGACTTACATATACTGTGCATAATAACGCATCCGTGTTTCCCGAACAGAAACACGGACTTTCGCGAAAAGGCCACGAAAGGCCGGCGGTAGGCCTGCGAAAGGGCGCAAGTGCCTGGAAGGGGTTTGCCAATCCATGGCCGTGGCCTTGAAACATTTGTTTCAAACCTGTGGTCTTTTTCTGCAAACGCGAAGGGGCCGCGAAAGGCCGGCGATCCATGCCCCACCCACTTGCCTTTAGCAAACGGAAGCTCCTGCTGCGCAAGGGGAGAAGCGACCACTCAGCCTGCTCCAGCCATCCTAGTGCCCTGGCGGATGATTCGTGCTCTTTGAGCAACTTTCGGCTGTTCAAGCTCGGGGTCGCCAAAGCAAACTCCTCAAGTCAGTGGTAATTGGCCATACGATGCCACACGGTTTCTCCCAACAGAGGACGCACACGTCCACACCTTACAATAGAGAGATATACCATGATATATTTTGGCGGTGACAGTGGTTCTAAAGAGGGACTGGATGATTATACAATCCTAGAACTAGAATCTTTGGTTCCCCCTCTCATGCCATCCAAACCTCTACACTTCCCCCGCCTCGAACAGTGAACCTGATCCCGAAGTCGGCTTGGAACTGGTTCCCACGCTCTACTCATGTTCCGGCCCCAAGAAATCATTGTTTCGCCCCAGCTTCCCCCGGTTCGGAAACGCCACTGAGGCTCCACGGAACGCGGCAGTGAGTCCGCGCTACCACCCAATCCTCCCGGCACACCACGGTCCGGGGGGCCCGGAGGTGGAGCAAAAGGCTGTTTCTGGAAAAACACGGCGGATTCTTGGTACCAGTTGAGGTGATTGAGGTGAGTTTCTTTGTTTTAAGGTGGCCTTTTCTTGTTTCATTGGCTTTCAATTCAACATTGTTCAGTTTCGTCAAGAACAACGAAGACCCTCAATGGAGTTTGGATGTCTGGTTTCTGTTGCCAGAGATCCCTTTTGGTGGGTGTGCATCACAACCCCGTCCACAACACGGCGGTAGTCTGTACTTGAGCTGTTGTGCGCTGCTTCGACGTTGCCCGGCCGCTGGGATACGTGCACCAAGCCCATCCGATGTGATGCAGAGGTCCCTGTGGAAGGTGCCCACAGATGCCCGCGTTCGAGAGGACAGAGTTGCTGGGACAGGGAAAGACCCAAAGATCCAGGGCGGGAGATTTCTGCAGTGCAAACGCTACTACTTCCACCCAGTCTTCGGTGTATGGAGAGGGAATGGTTACAATTAAAAAAACATATATATATATATATGTGATTATTTTTTCTCCCTCTCCATGGGGTCCATATGCACACCTGGCAAGACAATGACCAACCCAAGATCCCACAAAACACGTCCTTTTCCATGACCTCGACCAACCAGCTGCAGGTACTAGTTGCAGGATGTTGCAGGTCATGTAAACTAGACGATGGATTTCAATTAAGAAACCACTATGTCACTATTTAGAAGACCCCTCCCTGAAATGACCCCAACCAGAATAGTTCGACATCTCCAGTCCTTTTTTTTTTTAACACACACACACATATATATATATATCATATCTAGTTTTATTCATCCACAGTCCTACACCGTCTCCCTGATTGACCGTCCGGCCGATTCTCGTTCCGATCCTCGGTCTGAAGCCAGGATTGGGAATCCGTCTCCGAATCCGAAGGATCAATTGGGGTGCGGTGCCTCAGAGAGAGAGAGAGGAGAGAGGGAGAGAGTGTATATACACATAGCTAGACATCATTCTCGAATTGAATAACTAGACTTAGAAATTAACGAAGGAAACCAAACCCTAGCTGAATGCCATAGGCACGTTTTAGAGATCCCCGCCCGACCAGTTTTTTAATCATTTCCTTTTAAATCTACCCTTGTACGCATAACACCAACTTCAGAGAGCAAACCGGGACAGGTCGGGCGAGCAAAAAGCTCGAAGTCAATGGGAGAGGGCAGCAGCAAGCTGACCTGATGCAGTGAGCATCAGCATAGCGGGTTGGAAAGCTGTGCTCTCGCGCTTCAACTCTCCGAAGGGAAGAGGCATCGCCCAAACCCTAGGCCAAGGTGCCACTCCAAAACCAAAGCCGAGCAGCACCGTCCGTGTTCGGAAGAGAACCTCTTGGTGGTTAACAGCAGGCGCCACAGCAGAGCTTCACCGACCTCCGTGCTCCTCGGGCGACGCTCCGTTTCTGCCGACTCGCCCAGGTGCCGCAGCCGCGCAGGGCCTCCCATCATGAGATGCTGGGAGGTCCGCGGCGGGTGTGCTTGAGAGTCACCGTTGAAATCCTCAGGGTGGTTGAGTGGTTCAATAGGAGTTATGCTATGCATGCTAAAGCAATGGATCCCAGAAATCAGCTGGTGAAGGATGGCACTTGGCCCTGGAACTTGAGGATCAGTTCGGTGTTTGGTCCGATTTTCTCTTGGTGTAAGTGCAGACTTTTGCGACATCACACCCTGCTCCCAAGTGGAAGGTCGAAAGACTCTGTCAATTTCTGTAGCCTGCATGGTCTCCACCTGTCAGGCATCTGAGGCAATGACTACCAGTGAACCTGCGTTTTCTCAGGCAGCTGCCTTGCTCAAAGAAGCATCCTCTTAGCAGTCTGGCACTTCAAGAAATGACCGGGAGCTCTGAATCATGCGCTCCCAAGAAGCCAACCTCAACCTAAAAGCAACATTGCAAACAATCGCCGCAAGTGCCAGTGTTGCCACCAGTTATTCCGATCCCTGGTTTGCAGGCTAAGCCTCAAACCCTCAGGCAGTGCTCCAGCACAAACTCCCATAGCAGCTTGCACATGGACCCGAAAACGATGCGCTTTGGAACACTGGAGTCTTCAAAGCCTCCTTCGGCCTGCTAGGCCTCAGCGGTGGAAGCACCCGATCTTCCCGCTGAGTCCCCTGAGGCGGCTGCTGGAGACAAGTCCAGCATGGCCTGTTTCTGGCAGGTGCCATGTTTCGTTGATTACATTCAATGTGATGGAGTCCACCAGGCATCCACCAGGCGGCATCCTTGGTTCTAAATGGTTTCGTCCAAGTGGAGAAAGGGCTGAGAGGCGTGAAGGGTTCTCACCAAAGGTCACACTGGGCAATCGTGAGATTCAATGAGAGGACATTTCCATCAAGGAGACCAATTTGGTGGTCTTTTAAACGAGGCAAGTAAAAGGGCACACACGCACATTTTTGGAAGGTTTTCTCGAACACGAGCACGCGCACAGGCCCGGGTCGGGTGAGGTCAGCGTTCTTCAGTTACAAACCCGACATCCCAGCCAGGGAGGGACGCACGCTGTTGTGCAAGAGATGTTGTGGGGTCGGTTGCTTTCCGATTTCACGGTAGGCTTGCCTGGAAGGGCGAGTGTGAGCATGCTTTGACCGGCTGCCAGACCTGAGTTTGGCTCTCAATCCCGAGATGGACATGATGGAACCATGCCAACTATGGATGCATATTTTTTCAGAACAGAATCTTCAAGAGCTTGCAACAAAAAAGTGCTGGCAGGAGCAAGCTTACGTACCCTGCTACCTCACGTACTCAGTGCTAGGCAGAAAACCACATCGTGCTGCCTCATTTGCCCATGTGCACCAGGTACATATTGGATCATGGGGGTCAACTTTGAGCATATGCTCAGAAAACCATCCGGACTGCCTCTTCTGCTCAGAGCACTTTCCAGGCTTGCATCCAGGAACTGCATGGCCTCGGCCAGTGTTGACCTTTGGGGACATGAAAGCCTTGACCTGGAGGGAATTCTTGCAGGAGCAGGTTGAGAATGATTCAGAAAAAAGAGATCTCCTTTCTCACTACCCGGTGTGGTGGTGTTTCGTTCTTTTTTTTCTCAAGTGCCCTAAGGACCCCTAAGGTGCATGCCGCATAAGCCTCAGAGGCCACCACGGCGTCAGCTTCGCCATGACTTGACGCCATGATGGCGCACCTGGCCCAGTTGGGCCTGCTAGTGGCCGTGCCATGCACACAAGGCGTGGATGTGGTGCCAGAGGAGAACCAAACAACGCCACGCTCATGCCATGAGGGAGAAGAAGGAGAGAACAGCTCGGAATTTAGACTATAGACTCACAAAGATGTTAAGTGGTAACGGGAGCTGAGATCAGGTGGCTGGCATGTCGGAGCATCCGAGCCATGCTCATGGTTTTGTTTTGGAACGTGCTTCTCGAGAGGTGCCGGACTACTGCCTTTAACGCCCGGAAGCTCATCGAGGCATTCGCTTCGATCCTTTTGCCTCGTTCGCTTCGTCTGCCCCAAGGATGCTGCCATGCGCGCAGAACCTGCCGCAGTGTGCCAGCTCCTGCGGGGTGGACGAGTTCCAGGCCGGACAGTTGGGACTCCAATTTGTAGAGGACAGTTGGCCTTCCACAAAGCATTTCCCATCTCCAAGCTCATTCTTCAGAAGTGAGTGTAAGTTTCTTGGAGAGAACATGGGGGAGGGTATGTTGTAAAATGGACGTGTGGACAGTGTGGACCAAAGAACGTTGCAGTACTAGTTGTTTGTGCTGTATCAAGTGGAACTGTCACAAGTCACAAGTCACAAGTTTTAGAATTTTGGGTTTTGACAGCGTCACAGTGGTTGAAACCAGGTCCTCAAACGGATGGCGCCCTCTCAGAAGAACGCAACGGCATAAAACTGAATGCTTGAATTTTCCAATAGATCATCAAAGATCTTGAAACAAGACAGACTACAAACTATCCCCTGGAGCCAGCTTCTGTGGGGCGTAGTTGACGCGTTCGATCACTCACCCATGAGTGGTTCCATGGAACATTGAATTCCGTTCAGGACAATTTGCAATGGCCTCATGAATGAACAGCTGCACCGCTGCACGATCCCAGTGTGAGGCCTTGCATGAGTGGCTGGCAACCTCGCCGACCAGAGCCGAGACCATTGGGCAGGCGCACTGGGGAGTGAACGTGCGCGGGTCTCTGTGCGCCCACCCCGGGGACCAACCCGGGTGACCAAAGCACGATGGCACCCAAAGCATCCAACAAGCATCCAACAAGCATGGCAAGATCATCAGCAAGATGTAGTACTTCTATGTACTTCTCATCTCCGAGCTTCCTTGTTTGGACCAAAGCTTTTGGCCAGATGCGGTGGTTGTCTAAACCCTCAGCACCCGGCTCTTCGGGCCATCAAGGACGAGCTCAGCAGCTCAACGCCCGATATTCACAGTACTAGCTTCTTGTTACTACTAGTAAGGCACTTGTTACTAGAAGCGATGCACTTTGCTCCTAGTAGCTTCTTGTTACTACTAGCCATCCTTTAGGGTCCTCTGATCACTGCGGACGCGAGGCCCATGCAGAGTCCGGATCCTCACGGGGAGGAATGGAAAAGAAGGAAGGCGCAATCGTCCATCATCCTACATATATCATATATATATATATAATCATATATAGATCTTTGGACTGATCTTTGGGTATGCTGGATCGGCCTGTTCCTTTTTGGGGGGGGACTTGCCGGCCCAGGTGTGTGCATGGAGGGCTAGATTCGCTGAGGTGGATTGAGATTGTGGATATAAGTGATCAATGGAAGTCACCAACTATGGTTCCCATACGCTACTAGGGGCTCCTGGCCTTACTACTAGTAACAAGAAGCTACTAGGAGCAAAGGGCATCGCTACTAGGAGCAAGAACGCTACTAGGAACAAAGTAGCCATGCAAGCCACAGACCTCACAGTCCCTCTCCATTGAACCAGCTTGGCGCGATGGCTCAGGAGCGCTTTGGAGAAGCAAGCCTTTGAGCTCATCAAAGATTTAGGCGGGTCATCTGCAAGAAATCTGGTAGGTCTGTGGGCCTGGAGGCGGTAACTGGCACCGGCAGCAGAACTCAGGAGGCAATCCCAAGTTAGGACAAGATCTCGAAGCATCATTGAGAGAGTTCCATCTCCATGCACCTGTGAACCCTTTAGGATCTTCATGGGCAAACCTGAGCACGAGCAAGCTCTCCACAAGCACGCTCCGAGTCATATCCAAGCCGATTCCAGCCGCTCAAAGGCCCACACCCAGACCCAGCCTGATCTTTTTCCCCCTCATAGCGCGCGTTTGGACCACCCAGCCTTCAAATGGGTGAGTTTCTATAGAAACTTCGAGAACCGTTTCATCCGCTGTTCCTTTTCATCCGCTGTGAGGTTTATCTCTGCTGGCCACCTCCTTGGACTACGTGGCGCTTTGCCAGCATTCCGTCCCTCAGCTCAGTCGGCCGAACCGGACGCGAGTCGGTGCTGGTCGGTTCCGCGCGCGTTCCGAGCAGCGTTCCGCGGCCGAGGAGCCACGCTGCGGGATGCTGGCGCGGGAGTTTGAAGTGGTACAGGCAAGAAGGGGAGAAGAGAGTGGAGAAAGAGTTGTTCATTGTCCGAGGTTGGAGTAAGGATTTTGAGCCAAAGATGTAGATCCCATTTTGGTTGAGACTCACTCCCAAGAAGCAGTTGGGATTGAGGTTGATGGGACTGGGTTGCGAATGTCCATGAGAGGCTCTACGGGCCCGGCTGGATGCGCGGCTGCGGGAAATGGCAAAGGACATGCCATGACAGCCATGATGGGGAGTGGTGAACCTAGAGTTTTGAACTCCTGCAAGACCAGGGCTGCCACGGAACAGACTTGTTCCTGTCAGGCCCCAAGACCAGTAGTGAAAAACTAGGCCTGCCAACTTCAGATGCATCGACTTTGAGCCTGCAGCAGTCGGGGTAGGTCTGGTGTTTCTCAGCATTGGAGAGGGCATGGTCCCACCAAAATAGCCCAAATCAACCAACTCGCAGGGTTCGTCCCTTCGATTGCTTCGATGCGACCTCAACCCCGCTTTGTTGGGGCCTACCGGCGCCTCCAGGACTATCTTCCCGACACCGGCCTGCGCTCGCCGATCCTGCGTGCGCCGCCCTCAGCGGACGGTGGGGGCGGACGACGGCTCGGCCGGACGGTGCCGACGTCGGACGAGGTGGGCCACAGCGTGAGATCGGCCCGGCGGCTCGGGGATCGGGATCCGAGTGGAGAGGTTGGAGGGGGCTCCCCCGGAGCGGTGCAACATGGTGCATGGCTCGATCACTAGGTGGGGTTGCTATCTGCAGCTTTGCCCCACGAAAGGCCTGTCAAGTGGTGGGGGGGTGATGGCTCAAGAAAGCCTGCATACAACCGAGGACTTGGACAGCTTCTTGCGAGATTTGTGTTGGCCTCAGAAGTGGTACGAACACGGGAACTCCAACGGGGCAAAGTACAGGAAAAACCAAAGCGCCTTGGACAAAGCAAAGTGAACCACCACCACCCATAGCAAGGCCAAGATAGATAGGAATGTTTTATGTTTCTAACATGTTGGGATGACAGAGGCAGGCACTCCTTTGACCGCGAAGAGCGTTGAGGGCTCGCCCTTTGTCAGGCCAACCCTGCAAATGGGGCTGCCAGCTGCGGAAGCCTCGGCACGGCTGGCCCAGACCACAGGCCAGAGTCCTCAGTCTGGCAACTGACCACGTGGTTGTGAGATCAACTCCGTTGCCCAAAAACATTTGAGTTGAACAAATTGTAATATGTATTAAGTAAGGAAGGTTCCCACAGGTTCAGAAACAGCTTGGCCACCGCTTGGTATTTTGTTGTTTAACTTGGATATGTTACCTTGTCATCCTTGTCGGGCTAGCAAAACGCCGGGTTGCGCTAGGTTCGCGCTAGGTTTGGCGCTAGGATCAAGTACTTAGGTAACTTAGATAAGATAATCAGATAAACAAACAACACATACTATATATTATAGTAACTAAACTTGTTGAGGCATGAAGTGCCGAGGGCAGCTTGTCAGGGCAGAGGAGACTAGCTTGTATTCAGGGCAATGTCCCATAGGTACAAGTCAGGAAAAGTTGCAAGCAGCTTGTTGTAAACCGGCACAAAGCAAAGCGTGCTCTTGATCACAGACGTTTGGTGGCCTCAGGCACTGGCAGGGAAGCGCGCTAGATCCGCGCTAGACCCCTTTGCAACTTTGACCACTTGTCCAAGTGCTTTCCACTACATACACGCACAAGCAAGTGGGCTGCACGTGGCTGCATGACGTCGCGCATAACAGCGGCTCAGACATGGGCTTTGTATACACCAAAAAACACTTACAGACTCTGTAAGTAAGAATGCAGCTGTTAAAAAGGGGCATGCACAAGATACAACCATTTATACATAAATATATATACATGAGCACATGTTGGGTACATGACAGCCACCGCTTGGATTTGCTGTGATTTCAAGCTAGGATAATGATTTTAGAACGGTTTTTTTTCAGCTCACTTTGAGCGCAGTGAGCTCCTAATGTGGCCCACGGTCTCTAGATTCATTACCAAGCGCTCCATGTATATAGGCGGTAAAGATTGTGAAGCCTATTCATCGCCGCAGTTTTCCCAACAGGTTGGCCCGGATTTTGGCTTTAATTGCTAGACCTGGCAGGTCTCAAGGCTCGCATGCTGGCATGGCATTTGGGTTTGGTAGCTCAGTCTACGAACGCTGTTTACGCATCGGTGTACATAGACGTGCGCACGTTGTGGTGCCTATAGGACTTGAACGGTGGAAAAACAACGATTAACAAGGCTTACAGGATCACAGGCAGAAGTTCTGGGCCAATCTGGAGTACCTTTCGCTGAGGCATGCATTTCTGGGTGTGGACCTCAAACTCGGACGTTGGAACTTTCTCTTGACCCCCTCTTGGTTCTGCACGCTCCGTGCAAGACCAGCGGGCGAGACATGTTCTTGAGACACCGGCCGTGGAGAGGTCCGGAACCTTGAGCTGCCCGGCCGTGGAGCGCCGGTTCTCATTCTCCTCGACGAGTGCGCGCGTGTGTGTTTCCATTCCACAAGAAGACGAGCATGAATTTTGGCCGTTGAGGAGAAAAACCATTCTGGCTGGAAGGGGGGGCCTCAGACTCAGGTACACTTCTTTTGAGGACATGGTCTTGGGCGTCGTAGGCGTGGACGGCACTCCTTGGTGTAAAAACCAGACGTCGCCACCTGTCCCTCCACTGTAGTCGGCAGGGATGATGGTCCGACATGGGCAGCCTCAGCTGGCAATGGCAGAGGTCGGCGTGCGGTTTGAGGACGGGACCGGCCGTGCGGTTCGAATGGCATGTGATGACCAGCTGCGCTGGATGCAGGAGTGGTGGGCACCATCCCTGCTCCGCAGCTCAGCTGGACTGCAGTATGCCGGGAGTCTTAGGTGGCAGAAGGCCCACTGAAGGCAGCACAGCAGCTGTGCACTTCCCAGACTGTTTGCATAGAAAGGAGGACAGCGGTTTCTCCTATCACGCTTCGATTGCTCAGGTTGGCATCGTCCTACCGCCCGATGCGTCGTTGGATTCAGGTTTGGCAGCCCAGAGTGTGGGCCCAGCACAGATGTGATTTGACCAGCGATGGTTGCTGTATGTCACTGTTTTCCTTGGGAGACAATGCACGGGAAGCCCGCAGGTTTGGGTATACTGTGCACCGCTGCACTTAGAAGCCCACCGATCCAAAAGCCATCACCACGGTGTGCCGGACACTCGTCTCCCATCGATATCCGTAGGCGAACAGGTGAGTTGACTCCATCCGTTGCGGCCCGTCTCAGAACCAAGTGGGCTCAAGGCCGAAGCATCTGAGGTGCTTCCGCCCAGCAGAATGCCTTCGAGCAGATGAGGGTCGATGGCCTAGTAGTGGCGGGTTGGGGCATGGATTAAGTGGTCTTCTGTGGCGGCAAGGGTGCAGATTAATGTTGAAAGGACAAGGGTTAGAACTTGCACAAAGGCAATGATATGCAATAGTAAGCAATCAAATCGATTGCCATGTGTTTTTTTCCTGGAGACTTTGTCCACAGCCCTCCCAAACAACACTCACCAGGGTCTTTATGGTTAGCTCAAGCTCCAATTTTGAGCCACGCCGTGCCCACTGCTGGTCAGGGCGAGGTGCAGCAGTCCGATTTGGCCAACCGTGTTGCCTTGCATTACGCCACCTCCCAGCATCTCGGAACGGCGACGTAGCGATGAGCAACGGGGCGATCGAACTGAAGGTGACCAGAACGGATGTAGATATACAGAACAGGTAAGCATGTGGGTCAGGGCCTAATTTGGGCAATTGCGCGATTTGTTTGAGAGGGATGTTTCCCCTTTTGGGAAAGACCGCCTGTTGAGCCAAGGGATGCTGCAAATGCCTTTCCAGACAGGCCAGAGCTGCTGCGGCAAGGCTTCCTCGTAAGACATCAGAGCCTCTCCAGACGGCATGAAAGTTACCATCTTTCACTATTTCTTCTGCGCTAGGTCCGCTAGGTACGACAATCACCCACAATGACCCTTGCCGTTCTCCATGTGTCTTCATTAGTATGAATTAATGATCAAAGGGTGGACGGCACGTCACGTCTGCTGGATGCGACCCGGGAGGTCCTTAGATGCGGCCTTTCTGGACCTCCGTGGCTTGGACGCTGCGGCGGCGCAGCAGCAGATGGCGCTTTGGGAGTCCAAGGTGAAACCGGCCGGAGCGCCTTGGACCGACCTGGCAGCCGACCGAAGAGCTGGGGGGGGGCTGAAGCCGGTGGCGCTTTGGGTGGTTTTCGAGTGTCTCTAAAGCTTGTACTCAAGTCCTTCGATGACCGCCTCTTGTGGTGCAACCAGCGGTGGGTGTTTCCTTATGCAACTTAAGTGTGGTGGCCTTTCAGAGCCTTAGGCACTTTAGAGTTTAGTGCCATCCAGACCAGATGCTTGCCTTTGTGACAGACATACATGGCTCCGAACATGGCAACAGGTCAAGAATGAAGGCCTTCCTACTTACTGTTGCTTGCGCATGGAGCTGTTGCATCAGCTCCATGCCTGCTATTTCTGTATATATTCGCAAGGCCCCCCCGTGCCACGTCCTTTGGACCTCCCCGATCGGCCTTTCCCGCCCGACTCGTCAGCCCAAGGTGCTCGCTGGCCGTGGCTTCGAGCCAGGCTCCCTGGAGATTGTCCGCGGGCCTAGCACCGCTTGGGAGCCCCCCGTGTGATTCCCTTTCTTATTTATGAAGACATCGCTTGGCTGACACGTTTCGAGTGAACCCATCCATTGGAGTCATGCTAACCATGTGAGTCCCCATGAATGCATGTGTTACGGTTTTGCCTGACATGGCAGATGCATGGAGAGATGCTTTTGTATCCACATTTGCCTGCAACATCTTGGAGCTTCCAGGTCAGGTCATGACATCACCGCATTAGCCGTGAACCGCCACCGGGCGAAGACACCATGCACGACAGCCACAAGAGCAGTGCCCATCATACCACCTTTGTTGATGTGTGGCAGCAAAGATGATATACTCCTCTCACCTCTCCTTTGGCTCTCTTATGGGTCAACGGGATATCAACCAGAAACTAGACTGAGCAAGGCAGGTGAAGCCCATCCCAACGCCATGACGCGTACATGGCTGGCGCTGCTGGCGGCCTGGCGCCAGGCACATGGGGCGGATTTGCTCCCGGACTTCCACTTCCGCGGCGGCCCCGAGGTGCGAACGCCAGGCTGAGAGAGGTTGAGCTTTTGAGATCCAGGCCACACAAAGTCCAACACATCCAGCGCTTCCTGCATTGCGCACCCGAGAAACCAAGGCAGCGATGCAGGTGCCCTGAGCATCGATGTTGGAAGGGCGAAAGAAGAAGGAACTCAGAGCATCTCAACTCACGTGTCAGTCTGGATTCGTGAGGACCACTTCCAGCTCGGCTTCGCCATGGGCCGCGCATATCCAGACGTCATCCGGTCGCGAGTGGCAGCCCATGCGACTTGACGAGGGAGGACGGGGCATGATCAAACACACGGGGGGAAGTGGGCAAAGACCACCTACTGTAAGGGAGCTTGAATTTTTGTTTCAGACGAGTTTTTGTGGTGCAGGGTGACGCAATTCTGAGACTCCACAAACATTTCGCAACCATTGTTTGACGTATATAATATATATATATATATCATATTGTAGACACATGATGACACATGTGCTTGCAAGGTCGACGTGTTGAACACACAGATTGGAACTGAGTAAGTTTGGTAAGAAGAAACTACTGCAATTATGCGAACGTATGGTCCATGTTCATGGTAGATGAGCTTCACGTGGGCTACGGTGAGACCGCAAAACATATGCACCGGATTCAGAGTGAAGAATTGTCGTCAAGAATCTCCAAAGTGCCAAGCTGGACTCATGAATCATTGAGATTTGCCTGGTCTTGAGTCACAAGACCCCGTTGACACAGCCCAGATGCTGCAGCTGAAGCAGCTTCTAGAGCATGAACGGTGTCAGCAGCAGTTCCGTGCGCTGATGTCTACACACCAGCAGTGGCAAAGCTGAAGAGGGCGGGAGAACTCCAGGCATCACCACACAGGGCTTTGGGATGCTTTGGGTAATTACATGCTGTGGGTCGATGTGGCAAATGAAGGAGCACAGAAATAAGATTGCATGACATAAACAGATAGGGCCAAAGGCATGCCCAGGTCCACAGCTCCTTTTAGGGCATCGCAAGGGTCCCCACCCTTCGATTCGAGATCGTCGTGGCTCCCAAAAGTTGATTTCTCGGTGACTTGCTGATCGTATCAAGTGTGGTTTGACGGAGCCAAACAGAAACCGTGTGGAACGATGCCATTCTTAGGAGAGTCGGAGTCGGTGAACATCTGCCGATCACGGAGGACTTGTCCCATTCCTACTTAAATCCAGCCATCACTGTAATAAGCACTTTCCACGAAAGTCGTAGACTTGAGGAGGAACGGTTCAAGTTTCCGTTTTGCGATTCATTCAATCGGAGTGAATGCACCTAGGCTGGTGCCCAAGCTCGTGGAAGAGTTGCGGGGTGTGGGCGCAGGTAGTGGAGCCAAGTTTGAAGACTTGATGGCTATGAGTTTACAGGAGAAGGGAGGAAAGGGTGAAATTCTGCTAGTATCCACCACCGATGAGAAGAGCGGCTTTTGGGAGCAGGTTACGTGGTGTCCACAGTTTCTCTTTGAACATCTTGAACCCTCCACAAAACTCGACGCTTTTGGCACCCAAAGAACGGTGCCCGTCCGAGCATGGCCGAGCGCCACCCAAACGGTCCGGGCCCCAAGACGACGTGTGTGGGGTCCTCAGTCACCGGCCGGTGGGCCCAGAACTGGCTGATGTGCTCTCCAACCAGGAGGAGTTGGGGTACTGCAACGCAACAACTGCGACATCTGGACGCAGAAGCCCTGACCACTGCTCAGACTACATGCTGTGCCACACGCCTTAAATTAGATGCGGCGTGGCCAGCGGCATTGGGTGTGCAATCTCCGCGGCTGGGCTCCATAGCTGAGTGTTCCACTATGGGTGTTCGGCCAAGAGGAGTCAGTCCCCAGCTGCTTGACGTGGACGAACTCGGGTCGTTTCTGGTCTCTGTATATATCGATCGTTGATACACCTGCCTGATGATTTCGTAGGTGGTCTTGCCCCAAACTATGACACCAGTACGTTTCCTGACGCTGCTCGAGCGTCCCAGGTGACTCCAAGCATTGCTTTGATGCGCACAATGAGGATGGCAACCTGGAAGAGACTCGCTTTCAATTGCTAAGAGCTTAAGGATTTGTCAACCAGGTTCCGGGGGAAGTTTCTTCTTCCTGCTTGCCTCCTCCCCCATCCCCCCCTTCGTTCAACTCCTCTTGTAACATTGTACTGTCAGTACCGTTTCTTCATCAGGTTCATCCTGTTTTTGCTCCTCCTCTCAGCCACTCTAATACCCAGTAGAAGATCAAAGCATTGAAGACATACAATTTTGTCAGTCGTGAGCAGGCCAACCTGTGTTTCCTTGGCCGTGGACTTGTCCACTGCGGATTAACCTCTCACATGAACATGCGAATCACAGAACTGGATTTGTTTGTTTCTTTTTCTTTGGCATCCGCGGCATCTCAGTCCACCCCTACTCTACCCATCCTTCGTTCCACCCGCATCCGTTCCGTCGACACGTCGCGGAAAGGATCGGAAGCTCTTCACGGCTTTCATCCAGCTGGGCGAGCTGAACTTCACGACCCTCAACTATGCGGGGGACCTTCTCGGGGGCATGCTCCTTGTCTCCCAGATTCAGGGAGGGCCGAAGGGCCGAAGGGGTGCTTCGGCCTTTTTAGATCTGGTGCACCGGAACAAAGCAGAAGGGACTGAAGCACTAGTTAGTTTATCGCGATGTATCTCGAACAAAGCTCCTTCCGGTGCGCCAAGGACTTCCAGAAGAACCGCAAGCTTTGTGAGTGAATCTGTTCTGTTGGATGGGGCTCTAGCTTATAGAGGTGTTTTCATGGTCAGTGTCAGTGTTGGAGTACATCACTCACCTCCGTTGGAAACACATCAGACTCTGCGACCTCGTGACCTCACAGAGCTGGGCGAGGTCTGCCTTTGCCTTCAACTCGCTTGGCCTGGGCTTCTCCCTGAATTGGGTGGGGCCCAGCCACTGTGACGTGTCCTCCTTGGGCCGGAACTACGTGAGTCGCCAGCTCTTGGCAGCCCGAGGCGCGGAAAAGTGGAAGGGAAGCGATGAAAACAGCGGACAGCAGCAGGATCCCGACCCAGGAACAGTGGATAAGCTATGACAAGCTTTGAAATACTGTAACCTTCTCTTTTTTTGGGGGAGGATGTGTTTCTCCACTCGAATCTAACAGGAAACCCGTCCCCCTAAAAAAGGTTGAATAGATTGACTCGTGAAAACCACAAAGGGATACAAAGGGTGGGAAGTTGATGAAGAGGGTTGAAGATATGTACCGGGACCCTCCAACAGGCGGTTTGGAGACCCTAACAGGTGGTTTCTGGACACCTGTTGTCACCAGGAAACACCTGTTGGAGGGTCCTGGTATATATATATATATATATGTTGATGCAACTCAAGGCCTCCAGGTGGACCACCAAAGAAAAGAAGGCTCTCCGATCCAAGTCTTCCAGGGTGGGAGGAAGCCAAGCAGATCATCTCTCAGAAGCATGCTGCAGGCGAAGTGGGGACTGGCCACTCCACACTAGTTGTTGTACAGTTGTTCACCCTCTGTGACATCTTTTCGAGCATTAGGCCCCATACTCACATCGGAGATGCGTTCTCAAGAATGCCAGCAGCAATCATGCCTTTCTTATGCACGAGTTTCTTGGCTCTTACTGTGGCAGGCCTTTTCTGTCGCATGATATGGTTCAGGCTGACGAAATGCTAGCAGGATTTGACTAGAAGCGGGGCATGTAGTTTTTTTTTTTCCCGGATTTGATGTCAGGAAGCTCCTAACCGACCTTACCAAAGTAAAATTGTTCTGGACGAGTGTTGATGTGCGCTCCTCGGAAGACACACCTTTCTGTTGGTTTTGTCAATGGGTGATGACGTCAAGTCTCCATGTCGCTGGACAGGCGAAACCAAGTGAAATGAGTCAACTGCCCCGCCCTGACCACCTTTGTTTTTTTTCTCCTCGCCCCTGGACCACCCTCTCCCTGTGTCCCGGGACCTGGAGGCCACAACTACCAGCTGATGGACTTTGAGGCTCGACGCATCTCCAACTTCGAGGTCGCTTTGGACCAGGCGGTGGCGAGTGACGACTAGCCGGGGTCCGGTGCGGTCTTCTGCTTCAGTGGAGGAAGAAAGCGAGGTCACGGGGTGAGGTCAGCAAGGGCTTGGGGCTTGGGGTGTTTGGATACGTTGGGCGTGTCGGCCTGGATCTGGGACACTGATGAGTGTCGAATTGCAAGTGCAAGGATGGCATCCTGCGTCCTGGTAGAAGCGAAAGACCTCATGTTTTCACACAAGGAAAAGATATGTGTTGTTGCGTCGAATCTGAGCTCAAATCCCAATTTTTGAGCACATAACATTGACAACTTGAACTACATTGTAAGAGTCTTGAAGGGGACCTTCATCGAAGCATCCTGGTATATCCTGGCCAGCACAGCGAATGCGTCGATTCATTCAACAGAGCAACAACACACTTTGAGGAAATCACGTGCATGAAATAGGTTCAACCACCATATATAGATGGTTTTATAGGTCTAAGCTAGCGTTCAATCTTTGTGGACTTTGACTTTGCCAGGGCCGGACTTGGTGGAGTTGCGGTTTTCGGTGGTTTTTCGGTCGCTCAAAGAAAATAGGGTCGCTCGACCGGCGCGGGAGGTCTCGGAGAAGGTGATTCGAGGGGCTTTCTTCCATGCCAACCAGTACCAGACGCTGGACGTGCAGGGTCAGACGCTCGTCCCAAGACTGATGGCTGGTTCTCCGGCCTCCACAAGGGAGGCCTCTTTTTTTTCATGCCGGGCTGCCAACATGTTGCAACAAAAATGATGCCTCCGTGAAAACCGATCACTGAATTTAGCCACTTCAACAGTCTAATTTGATCAACCCAGTTTTCGGGGTTCCGACTCGGGCTCTGACAGGGATCTCTTTTTGCCAGCACCGGTCCGCGCTCGACGGTCGTGTCGCGATGCGGCGGGATGTCGTCTGATGCGTCGCAGGATCACGGGGAACAGCTCGCTGCATCGCTTGCAACGAGTTCGAGAGCTGCCTTTGCCTTCAAGTCCCCAGGACGCTCTGCAGATCCTGGGGGACCAGGAGGATCGTGCGTACCTGGCCGCAAGGAGACGGAGACCTGTTTGGGTATGTGGGTGACAAGCCTGTAATGCTGGTTCACCCCGGGTCACAGGAATCAGATCCCTTTATAAGGGATATCAAGCTTCCATGGTGTGCAGGGTGACTGGCCCATGAGGGTTGGACTGAACCCTATAACAGTTCAAGAGAATAAACAAAGGTTCCTTTTTTAGATGCTCACGGCCGCTATGCGTCCAAGTCTTAAGTCAAGTGGGATTCAAGTCATGTTGCACACGCGGCCGGTCCGAGGTCAGGTCCGAGGTCGGTCCGCCTTCCAAGTCGTTTTTCTGGACGACTCCGCACGTTTGGACTTCCGTTTTGATGCTTGTGGCACCTTTTGGAATGAATCGGTCATCTTCCACCTTACAATGTGAGTTGGACAAACACCAGGAGTCCAGACCTACCCCAAACACCAGACCTCTGGAGCCCGTCACACGTGTTCGTCGGACTCGCCGGACGAGTCCGGCGGGTTCGCGAGGTATCCCATCTTCCATGATCTGCGGTCGCATCAAAGGGGCGATCAATCCGACTGGACCTTGGCCTCCGTGCTCTTCGACCTCAACCAGGCCCTGGTCGAAGACGGAAGGGGAGGTTTTCTGTTGAGGTCTGCTCGGTGGGCAGAAAAAAAAGGGGAACGGCTGAACAGTGAAGGGCTGAATACAATGACCAAAGCCACTGGAAAACACGTAAACAATATATAGACATATATAAACAAAGTGCCTCGGCCAGCACCGCCCAAAAGGATGATTGACCTGAGCAGATGGCACAATCGAGTTGGGAAGACTGTACCATTTGCTTTGATATCACTGCAGGATACTAATGAACAAACGATTGAACAGGAGGGGAGCCCAAAATGGCAGATCAGATGTCCAAGGTGTTCATTTGTTCTCTTTGTGGCTTTGCTGGCGGGTCTGTTTGTTCAAGGTGCACTCTATCTCTCTCAAGGGGTAGGAACTTCCCCTCTCCATCTTGGGTTCCCAAGTCCACTTGCAATGTTTGGTGGTTTGCATGATGTGAGTCCCTGAGTCCCTTCTCAGGCCTGGAAAAAAAAGGGAAGCTGGACCTGCATCGTTGGCGTTCCTGCACCAAGCCATATACAATTAAGATCAATTAAGTCAGATCACTGTGCCATCTCTTCAGCACCCACGGCACGTTTCGACTCGGTCCCACGCGCCCCTTTCGACGGAACCTTCCCACGGTCCCGTCCCTCAGGGCACCGTGGAATTGATGTTGGGGAACCCCAAGGAGAGCGCGAGTCACGATGTGACCAAGTAGACGAGTTGAGTACTGCAGAGGTTTGCAAACGGACTTCTTTTTGTGTGGTTGGAAGCTGCAGCTAGACATTGGGATTGAGCATCTTCCAAGGACACATCCCCACAAGGTGTTCATGGCTGAGTTTGTACAGAAACATTTGCCGAGGGTGTTTGATGAGAGATGCGGACCCAGAAGGTGTGATTTTCAGGGCACTCGACTGAGGGGTCAGGTTGGCCAAATATCTCAGAAAGGAGAAGCCTTGATAGTGACTCTGTCACTACTTTCGACGGCATGAAATATGGGATCAATGAGAAACAACCGTTTTCAGAGCACGGGTGGGTTGAACGAGAGACTGACCTGGAGGGAAAGGGGAAAGTGGACATGAAGAAAGACGAGTAGACAAGAAGACCTTCTCCATTTTTGCGATTGCTCATCATCTTGAGTTAGTTGAAAGAGAAGAACCAGGAACATCTAAATGGTTTCAATCTTCCATCTGGACCAATTTTGACAGCTTGGTCATAGCATAGTGAATGATTTAGTTCCCGCATTTCTTTTCGCAGCATGGTCCTCCAGGACGCCGCGGTGCAGCGCCGCTTTCACGTGCCGGTGCAGCGCCCCTTTCACGTGCCGATGGCCGGGACGGGTGGGGAGTGAAGCACATTGCTCGGGCTCAGTCTGCCGGCCTCCGACGTGTGAATCGGTCTCCCGATTGGTCGAGTCCGAAGATTCGAGCCTGGTGCTTCTTTCGCGTTGGTTTTTCCCCAGTGCCGAAAACAAGGTCACATGGCATGGAGAGTCTTTTTCGCGGCACGTTGATCGAGGTGGTGTGAAAGCTGCCGCTTGGGCCACTTTCGCCAACTTTGTTGCCTGCGCAGTGAAAAAGCAGAGCAGTTAACCTTAGCTCCGTGAAGGATGAGCCAGGGATAAGACACAGGGCGCACGACGATGAGGGGTTGTGTGTATATGATATGCACATGCACATCAATTCAGTGTTCTCCCAGTAAACACCGTTCAAACAAAAAACATCCTTTTTCTACTTTACGCAGACTTGGGGGTCATCTAAGCGCCATATTGCTCCATGCTTCCGTGTTTCCGCCTCGAAAAAGTGCCCAAGAAGAAACCTTCGAAGACGGGACGACAAAATAGCTCAGTGTTGCTGAGGTCAAAGCCGTTTGCGCACAGCGCTTCAGTACTGACCTTCATTTGGGCGTAGGCGGCAGAAGCGCCGCGTAGTCGCCGCAAAGATCTGTCAGCGACGCGCGTCTCCTGGTTCGCGACTCGTTCGAGGATGACGGCGCCGTCAGGGGATTTGTCTCCTACGGAACCCACCGTGATCCGTGCCCGTCGTCGTTCTCCAATGCCATTCTCGCGCCGCTAGGTGGTGGCTTTTGGCCGACTCCTCAGGTGTTTCGGGCTATCGAGCCGCTAATGCGGTGCTTTATGGCTGAGGTGGCTGGTGGAGCCCCCGGAAGAGGAGTGACCGGTGTGCGCGGCAAAAGAACTCGGCGCGATCCGTTCTGAGAGGGTGGAGTTGCCATGACATGAGACAAGCTGGATGTGGATCATAGAGGCCTCAGTCGAATGCTCCCACATCACCTAAGCGAACGCTGGGACAGAAGCTTGAACCACGTGATCATGACTTCACTGGGAATGTGCAAAACAAAGACAGACAATGGATGTCCTTCGTGACGAGTTGTGTATGATCGTTGGTTAACTGAACCATTTGCCCATTTGTGCTGACGACCTTTCCGCTGTGCTGAAACGGGTGCTCCGAGCGCGCTCTGGGAAGCCCAACAAGTGCCCTTCTTGCGTGTGCTGGGTGCCAAGCGGGTTGGATGTGGGGCAGAAGTCATGAAGATTATGAAATCATGAGAATCTCATGAGAAGGGCTAATTTCATTTCTATATACAGGTTATTATATATTAGACTGTGCCCACTCTCTATATGCCTACGCGTACATCAGAGGCCCCGAAGGCCCACTCCAGTTGGTGGTGTTCTACACTATGTCCCTGGGCGGTTTCAGGATTCCGCATGTGTCAGAGAGGTTCATTGTGTTTAAGATGTTGGCACAGCTGAGGCAGGGGCAAGCCGCCCTTTTACTTATTTTGGCAGGCACAGCCAGCTGGACGTGGCCAAGCGAGGGTGGGCCAAGTGGGGTGATGCTAGAAGGGCAACTCTCGGAGTGGACACCTGGACAATCTTGCAAGCTCCGAGGCAGGTGGAGCTCCACTTGTGAGATGGCGCTGGTCCTAATTTTTAGGGAGCGGAAGTCCCATGCTTGGAATGGCGCAAGCTCCTATGGAAACCTATAGAGGAGGACAGATGAGCACCTTGTCACCCTGGTGGCCAGGTAAGTTCCAGGTCAATTCCCCTTTGGCCTTCGCAGTAAGGAGAAAGTGTAAAAGGAATCCTTGATGTGAGACACGACTGTGTTTGGAGCAGTAGAGTCAGAGTAGCAGAGTGGCCAGATAGACAACTTAAAGAGTGGATTGCACTTCAACATACATTCTGTAGTCCACCTTGCCTTTGTCTATTGGAGATCGTTTGTAGAAGGTGTTCAGACGCTGATTTCCTCCTCCGCCGCGCCGCCTCCCAACTTTCAGCCGCGTTTGGGCTTTCCAAAGCCTGCCAAGCGTGCAGCCTGCGGCCATGGAGGAGGGATTGCTGGGTGGATGAGTGGGTGGATGCTAGTTCAGTAGCTTCTCGTTTCTCAGTCTTTTGAGCCGTGTTTGTTTCATTTTGTTTCAACTCCGACAGGGTTATTGGATGAGCTTTTAAAGCACAAGCAAGGCACGCACAAGTCAGAAGACCAAAAATGGAATGCCTTGAACAAACGGCTTGATGAGAGATTGTTCTGTTCAGTTTGGATATGTTTTTGATGGTTTTCGCATCCAAGCCTTGAGCCAGACTTTGACGGCTAGATTTGGGACAAGGGTGACCGACTCTCATTTCACATCCCATCATATTGGTTCCGTGTGATGCCACTTGGGACAAGTGAGGGTGGAGTTGAGCCGCGGGAACCCACGAAAAAAAGTCTAGATTCTAGATGCTCATCCCCTGCAATTGATATCACCATGGCGCGGTTTCAATATGTTTCAATGCTAGGGCACCAGCTGATTTCTAGACAATATGTACACCTTTCTTGCTGCACTTCTTGCGGCGGTTGGCCCATTTTTGTGGCTCTGCCACTGCCAAACACTTGCAGACCTCTACATCCGGACATTCGGACCTCCGGCAGGTCAAAGTGACAGATACCTTCGGACTCGATGACAACGTGCTCGTATCCATTCGCTATGGCACCATCAGGTCGGGAGACCCAGTTCTGATGCGCCACGCCGACCCAGTTCTAGTTTGGGCGAATCGGACGACCGGTCTGGTCGTCCGGGACGCCGAGAGCGGATGCCTGAGGCGCCAAGCGCCTTTGGAGTCTGTGAAGGCTCACCCCTTCAAGTTCGACAAGACCTTGGAGGAGATCAGCGGCCCAGTCTGAAGGGATGGACGTGCACCGGTGGGTCGGTGGGTTTCTGGAAGGCCCAGACGTTGAGATGTGTCGATGATCGCAATTGATAATTGAGAGCCTAGCAGCTTGTACTGGGCAGGGGTGCCAGGTAGTTCTTCTTTTGGTGGCAAGCATTCTCCTCCACTCGGGGCTGTGTGGGGTGGCCAAATAAGCCAGAGCGAGCTTTTGTGCTGAGGCGAGCCATTGAAGATTGATCTACTGAAGCCCATGGCATCCACTAGACTGGTGCTGCATCCCAGAGAGGCCAGATCCTGTTCAGGAGGTTTCAAGATGTTTTAAGCGTCGCGACTTTTTTTTTGATCACAAGGGGTCGCCAATGGACAAACTAACCTACACTGCTTATAGGTTTCCATTGAAGGAAGCTCTGTCGGACCGGCTTTCTTCCTACAGTTGCCCACATGACCGCCACCACAAGGAGGAATACAGTATCGGCTTCGAGCAAGCGGACAACATCGCCATGGCGCTGCACGTGACGAATGCGGAAGGCCCAGGACCAGGACCAGGACGGGACCTGGCGGGACGTCCTATGAGGTGAAAGACTGGTCGGCTGGTATTGTCAACCTGGGCCTCCAGGCCTCCAGATCCCATTAGCTCATTTGTTCAGGTTGGTGCAAACCACCAACCGGACAGAGTTTGGAGAATCTAGATGTTAGTGTAGACTGACGAATGATAAAGCCCCCAAGCGACATGTTTGGAATCCTATGTAGAGTAGTTATGTCGACATCTACATGGTACATGAACAGTGATGCGGCTTTCGAAGCAGAAACAACGCGCCACCTGCCGGTCGGGTCGCGGCCTTCCCAACCGGTTCAGATCCGGTTCAGATCGGTGCGGTCGGGTCGCGGCGTTCCGGTCGTTTGGCCGGTCGTTTTGCCGGTGGCACCGTGGACCCGTGGCGAGACGAAACGAACGCCGCGACCCATGCGCGTGCGATGAGCCATGCGAGGAGCCAAGGAGTCGAGCAGCAAGGACTCAGCGGCCAATGCCAAGGACTACTTGGAGCAGAGACTTGGTGGAGTGGAGCTGGGCCAGGGACGAATTTGGAGAGATTTGGAGCAACCCCAGGGAGCCGGACCCACATCTTGGATGGCCTACTAAGATGGCCTTTGGAACATCTTGGAACCCCTTCATGGCGAAGTGATTTCAGTGCTTTAAAGGGCAGCTGGAATGTCCCATATTGCGCCCACTGTCATTTTAGGATGTTTCTCCAGAATATTTCTATGCAGAAAACCACCCAGTCCCCCCACCTGCACTGGTTCGGGAGCAGTATGTCAGCTCCTTCCTGGTGCCAGCAAATCATGCAAATGTTGTTGTCCGTCTGCGGTGGTTTGGACATCCTTTTGGCTCCACCTTTCCCCTTGTTGTGGATTGGAAAGGGTTCAGGTGCAGACACGATGGGACACGATGTATATGTCCCAGCTATACGCCTTCCATACACACTACATGTAATTAGTGAGGCCTCCCAGAGGAACTGCCGTCCGACCCATCATGCGACGACAGCATTCTGTGACCGCATGCGACCGCGTTGTTTTCCCCGCATTGCGCCACTGGTCCTCAGGAAGGGCTTGCTGAAGTATGTCCAGTCTCTTCTCCACGCTGTGATTCAGGACCGGTGCGACGAAGGCATGGATTTGAGTCTGATTGCGCTGCAATTGTCTGATGTTATGTTACATTGTCATGCCATGCCAGTGGTTAAATTTCAATGGGGATGAATTGACAGGACAAACCTGAAGATCCGTGCCTTGGCAAGGACAAGCCTGTCACAGATATCTCACTGGCAAGTCGGGCTTTTAGACCCTCGGTCTAGCAGGGCTGATCTTCCACCAGTGAGCACACCTCAGGTTCTCGTACATGATTGAACAGCTCACGGCGGCGCAGAGTCGGGGCCTGAGCCACCCTGCCGACACCATGCGGACTTCACCAGCAACACCGAAAACGGATCTTCACCAGGAAGGTCTGTGACGTCTCTCTGACTCCGCGCCTCACTCCTCTCCCCGTCCATCCGGTTCTCCGACCGAGGCAAGTCCCAGACCTGCGAGCGGGTGATGTCGCGCCCCACCAGCGCCAGACCCTCGCGGCCCACCAGCGCGGTGGCGCGGCCGGCGGGCTCGCGCCCGGCCAGCGCCAGGCAGGTCCGGTCCCAGTCTGCCTCGTTGGGGGGGGGGGGGGTGGCAGGGGCCCGAGAGCCGAAGAAAAACAGGCCCTTGGGACCTTTGAGGGCCCCCAAGGGGGGGGGGGGGGGGCACCGAAACGCCTCGCTACATCGAGGAACGCGCGCGGACGAAGCAGGGTGAACAAGCCAGAACTCGCCATCTCTTTCGTCCACCGGCCAGGCCCAATCCTCCGAAGCAGAGGCCGGTGGACGAAGCGCCTGCACCCCGCGAGGATCCTCCACCGTTCCCCGAGAGCCTTGGGAAAAGAGGAAGGTGGAGGTCCGAGAAGTTGATGACCTGTTGGGAATGGGTCAAGAAGAAAAGTTAAGCTTCAGACTTCAAGACTTTTTGGTTTTCCGGTTTTGATTCTTATTTTGGCATTTGTGTTGGTGTGGGGGTCAGCCCTAAATAGACAATGGACCGAGTCTAACACGGTGGGATGATGAGGAAATGAGGGGCATTGGGTGCCTGCAGGTTTCCATATGTTTCAGGGCATGCCTCACACAGAGGGGAAACTGCCAGCCCATCACGCAGTTCAAAACTCCAGGATGACACCATTCAGTTCTTCTCTGCGCGTTTGGTCGTTCTGGGTTCATGTTCCAGTCTGCCCGTCAGACGCTAGGCTAGGCCGGCTAGGCCGTCAGGTTGTGTTTCAGCTCCCAGGATCCCAGAGGATCGGCCGCTGAAGGACACGAAGGACCCCGAAGTCGCGGGGCGCGGCCGGGGGGCGAATCCCAGGCGGACATGGTGAAATCCAGGCGGTGCTGTGGCGGAGGTCGGACCGATTCCACACGTTGGGTGGCCAAGGGTGGACACTTTGAGGTGC